GAGTCGGTCATCACCTGAGCACATGACGCCGGCGAACACCCAGCACTGGCCGTATTTGACCGGCCGGCAGCCGGAGTCGAACCAGCGCCTGAGGATGGCGTAGCTCCCGTTCCAGCGGGTGGGCGGGACCCCCCCCCAGTAGTCGCTCCCCCAACGGCCCTGCAGGACCCCGTAGTCGTCCTGGCTGTTGATCTGGAATAGAAACATTTTTAAAAAAACAACCCAGTTAACCCTATAATGCCAAATGTATCATATTTGATTCATACGGTTTCTGAAATGTTTTGCGTCTGACACCTTTTGCATAATTTAATGGTAAAAACTTTGCTTTAATTCATATTGTACACAATCAGATACACCTGATAACAGGGGGTAGAAGGCTACACAAAAAATAATCTTGACTTACCACATAGTAATAAATTATTAATATTAACATTTTATTTTTGTTTTTTATTTTTGCATATTGTGTTAACAGGCCAAATAAGGAATTCAAACCAAAAAAAAGTCATTTTCTGTTTTGTTTTATTCTTGGATCCGGCTTTAAAGGGTTAAAGAGCCTGTGTGTGTGCACATACAGGCTCTCATTTAATTTTATTTTTTTAAATTTATTTTGAAACATGATATGGTTCATAAACATGCATCATGTTTAAAAAAGGATTAGGATGAAGCATAAGCTTATTAAGCCCTACCCCTCAGTTACATGTGTCATGGTGGTAACGGACAATTATTTACAGTAAGACAAACAGTATACCAACTTTTTGTATATTACTCTTTTTTGTATTCATCAAAAATACTTTTTTTATATTCTTTTTTGAATTGCTGGATACTTTTACATCTTTTAATGTTTCCAGGCAAGCTGTTCCAGAGCTTCACTCCGCTAACTGATAAACTAAAGCGTCTCTTTGTTGTTCGAACATACTTAGTTTTGAAATTTAATTTTCCTCTTAGATTATATTTTCCAGCTCTATCAGAAAACACTTGTATGTGCGCAGGAAGTAAGTTATTTCTTGCTTTATAAAGAATTTGAGCAGTTCTGAAATTGATCAGGTCTACAAATTTGAGCACTCTTGAATCTAGGAATAAACAGTGAGTGTGATCTCTATAATGTGTGTTATTCTCTCACTGTGTCTCTCACAATCTTTAGCATTTCTCAGCATCCTCCAATAAAAGAGAAACGAGTCCTACCATGGCGCTGATCACCCGGCCCACGTAGACGGGGTCCCGGCGGGCGCCAGCGTCTCCAGCCGGATCGCGCAGGTTCTCGTTGTTGACGTCCAGGATCCTCATGCAGATCTTAGCCATGTCCTCCTCGAACTGGACAAAGAAGAGGGGAAGAGGGATGCTGCCGTTAGATCATCGGATCTACTTAAACCAGTGGATCTGACTGTTTGCATGTTCTATCAGTCTGAAATTTCTACGAGCAGTTTTCTGCAAACTGACCACATTCATGTTAGATACGGATGACAAAATAGAAGTTGGTGTGTCGACAACAGTCTGTCTGAATTAAACTGGAATTTCACATCTAGAGACCATTTTTCAGAAGTTTGACTCAAATCAAAATATGACATCAGTTAATGGATAGATGACAAAATCAAAGCTAGATCAAGTATTCTATGTGGGGCACCTTCTTTTATCTGATTTATAATAATCTAATCTAATCTAATCTAATCTAATCTAATATCCATTCGTCCATTTATCTATCTATCTATCTATCTATCTATCTATCTATCTATCTATCTATCTATCTATCTATCTATCTATCTATCTATCTATCTATCTATCTATCTATCCATCTATCCATCCATCCATCCATCCATCCATCCATCCATCCATCCATCCATCCATCCATCCATCCATCCATCCATCCATCCATCCATCCATCCATCCATT